AAGATCAGAGGGGATTCCAAAATCCAAAAAGAAGAGATTCGATTGAAGGAGACTCTACCTTTTGAATCCAACATGAATGGACTCGTAGTAGATAGTGAATATTTGGTGTTTCGGTCATCCTTGGATGACCGGCCACCATCTTCCATCTCCAACAATGCCACACGAATTCTTCAAGATCTTCTTCCAAATTCTTCCTAAATTTGTGGAGCTTCTCTCTCTACTTCTCTCACGCCTCCTCTTAATTAAAAATATTCCTCTACAACGATGCTAAAAACTTGATGGGGGCAGTGGAGTAACCTATAGAATTATGAAATGAATTAGGGCTTTATCGGTGCATAGCAATGCTTAGGCTTTCTTTGAGATATAAAAATGATAAAATTCCTACTTAATTTATGCAAGTATACGCGCTAAATCAAGTAATATAGTGATATAGTAAAGTATGGATCCCATGAAGAAGATGTGATAACTTGCAAACACTAGTACTATCTACTAAAATTATAATAATTATTCTACTCAATAAAAATAAAGGTTATGGAGATTCAATCACTTAAATAAAATTAGATAAAATAATGAATATATTATGAGGATATAATGTTTTAGATTGATGAATGTAAATAACATAATATTTCTAATGAATTTCTTTTAATTATGATGTTATTCAGAGAAGATGCATTCTTAGATCTCTATTGAGCTTGAAGGAACAAAGGATATCTATCGACTTCCTACGATTTTATCATCTCCTTAAGAATTTTAGTACATTTCATATATTATGCCTAGGCATGATGCATACTAATTAATATTCCTAATTATGCTTGTTTCTCTCCGTCGAAGCTCTATATTACACATATTTAACTACACATATGGCCACTATGTGCATTAAATAAAATATTTGGTAATATTGAAAACATCTTTTTAATCATTTAAAGAATAATAGAATTCATTAGTACTACATACAATACTTATATTATCAATCCAAAATAAGAGAATGTAATCAAACATGGAGTAGAATTAAAATAAACTCATTTTCATTACAAGAGATAGATATCACTGGAATGGTTTCATGAATCTCCTCTACACTCCTTTAGTTATAGGTTTGCTTCCATAAATGCAATCCAAACACTCTAATGATGGTATCAAGTACTGCTCTAAATTCTTTTAGTTGGTACCCTAAGAGAGTTTCAAAGAAGCACTTTGAATTGGACTGAAATTATCTAAGTGACTCCCTTACAAACATAACATAATGACTATTTATAGGAAAACACAAAATAGGTGTCTGGTGCTACGGTGTTAAAAAAGATCGACGCCACTATGCCCAATAAAATACCTAACAATACTGTGTTATTTTTCTGGAGCTGCCATTGCGCTTGTTAATGTGGATAAGTTACTTGGTAAACAGTCGCATCGCTTCGCTAACACATCGAGTCCTTGGGAAGTTTTAATTGTTATGTCGCGGCGCTGCTAACTTTCTGACACTGCAACGTTGGGAGGGCAATGTTGGCGCAAAGTCGTTATGGATTGTGACGTAGCGGTGCTAGACAATAGAGAATTTAGTCCTACAAAATTGATATTTAACTAGTGTGGTGCGTCTCGAAGAGAATTTGTTGCTGTAATATTGATATTATGGTGCTCCGGTGGTGTCTTTGATGGTGTTGCGACATTATTTATTTCGATGTTGCGGCTCTATATAAACTTTAAAATTTTGTGTCTTTTTTATATTTTTCCTACACAATACAACTAAAACAACACATTTTCACCGAAAATTCAACATATAAAATAACACATTATTTACACTTATCAGTGCACTGTATGCAGGACGCGAGCGCGAGGATGCAGTGCGAACACGAGCGCAGGATTTTAGGCAATAGGTCCGGTGCACTGTAGGCTAGGTGCAGTGTGAGAAGCAAGCATATGGTGCAGGCACATATCACAGGTGGCGGATTTCGTACGCTATTGGTAGGGCGCGAGCATGCAAGTGCGATGCGGTAGCGAGCACAACGCGCTAGTGCAGGATAGTAGGCGATGGGTCTGATGCGCTGCGGGAATGGTTCAAGTGCGGGATTGCGGGTGGAGGGTCTTGTGCGCTGTGGGCAAGCTATGAGACGAGATCGCACTACAGGGAATCAAGTTATTTCATATTTGATTTTGGGATTCAAGGTCAACCCAAGCCCGACCCAATTTTTTAAATGGGTCAGAATCTGAAACCCAAATTTGATTCGTATGAAAAACATGTTGATTCAAACCCCATAATTTTCTTGGTCTGATAAGGATTGAGTTTTAAGTCGGATCAAATATTGACATCTCTATTTAAAACCTTTTCATTGGTGATACATTTCCCTCTTGCGTGTTCATTTTACGAAAAATTATTAGGTGCGGAGTGCAGACGGGGTGAGAACCGTCTGCACAGACACAGAGTACCGAGCGGTACCCAGCGGTACCGAGTGGTACCGAACGGTACCGAACACTGTTTTATACTAGTGTGCAGACGGTTCTCCCGTCCGCACTCCGTACCTAATAATTTTTCTCATTTTACATAGCTGATCCAACCTTCTAATAGAGACCGCTATAAACCAAAAGCTGGAGGGTACTATCGTCAAATCACAAGACGTCCACAGTTGCATTAATTTCCGTCTATAAATAGTCAAACCCTGCACAAGGCCATCAACTCCTCATTTTACCGAGCCCGAGTGCAAAAGTTCAATGAGCATTTAATTCTGAGAGTATCTGTCTTCTCTCTCCTTCAATCTCTCTCTCGAAACCCTAAGCAACTAGGGTTGTATGGAGATGATCATCAATCGCAACGGAGCCGCAGGGGCCAGGGGCATTTAATTCTCACTCAAAGCCCGCATTAACTCTTTCCCCAGCTGGTTTACGTGAGAATCTCAAAAATCCCTGTTTATTTCTTCCATTTAAAGCTTCTTGTACTTTTCTTCACATTAAATTGGGGGAGAGGAGAGAGATAGACCGATCGCTCTTCGAATCAATTTTCCTCTTTTTTTTCAATTTAATTTTACTGATGCACTGCAGTTGAAAATACTGGCATTTATACTTAACTAGCTTCTATCGAAGATCGAGATCGACCGCTATAAAGATCTGCGGGATCTGGCTTGCTGACCTCTTTTCTCCTCTTCAAGAGCGAGGGAAATGGGAAGAGCTCCTTGCTGCGCGAAGCAAGGGCTGAAGAAGGGGCCCTGGACGCCGGAGGAAGATAAGATCCTAGTCGATTACATCCAATCCAATGGCCATGGTAGCTGGTGCTCACTTCCTAAGCTCGCAGGTGTCCATTCCCATAATCCTCCATACCCTTTTCCGCTTTTCCTTCCCACTGTTCTTCGACATTTATCGTCGAGATCAGGCTTTTCGATCCATTTTTAGTCTATGAATAAGATATGCTTTGTTATTTTTTAGAATTTTACTTTCGTACCACTGGCAGTGGCAATAATGAGTTACCCTCTTCATCTTCTTATCAGCAATAAAGTAGCCTAAAATATTCTTCTTCAGCCCAATCTTAGCCGTTCATTACGAAACCTATCCCAATGATCCTAACGATGGTTATAGGACTCCAATGCAGGGTTGCTGCGGTGCGGGAAAAGCTGTAGGCTTCGGTGGACCAATTATTTGAGGCCTGACATCAAGCGCGGGCCGTTCACACAAGAAGAACAGAAGTCCATCATCCAGTTGCACGGGATCGTCGGAAATAAGTATATATCACAACCGTCCATTTACTTTCATTATAATTAATTATTCGTTCTGTTTATTCTGTCTTTCATACTTAATTCTCTCCTACTTTTCATTAATTGCATCGATCACTCGTCATTAAGCACTTCTGGATATTGTGCATAGTCACTGTTGTTTTGCTTTGTCAGCCTCCTCTCCTCAATCTTTTTTTTTTTCTTTTCATTAAGAGCAGGCACATAAAAAAGGCATATCCTTTGTTTTCCAAAATATTTATTTTATATTTTAAGTTTGATCTTTTAAACCAAAGTTTGGTTTGGAAACTTGCAATTATAGTTTTTTTTTTTTTTCAATGAAAAATCTTTGGTGGAAGCGAAATATTTTGAGGTTAACGAGTTTGAATTCATATTTATAGTTACTTTTCTTTGAGCTTTTGTTATGTTAGACTGATTTGAGGAAACTACATTAAAGGCGTCCATGGATGGTCAATGTTGATGGGGTCTTGGTAGCTTATGGAAAAAAGCGGCCGAAAAAATAAAAGGATTTATTTTGAGCACATGAAATGGCTAAAAATAAATGAAATACTAATGCTGTTTTAAATAAATATTTATTTACAGTATTATTTGTTTCTATTTTTAATTTGTATGTCAATAGTTTCCCAATCTAAACGCGTGATTTCAAATACAATATTAAAAACATTATTATTTTAAATATGAATTTTTTTTTTGGAACAATAATCGAAACTGAGGAATATCAGGTGTGATTTGAGTTAATATTATTTTATTTTATTTTTTTGGCATTCTCAAAATATATTTGATTTGGATGCTTTCACAATTAGTCCTACTATTATGCTGTTGCATATATATTATTAAATATATTGTAATTATGAAGTTGTAAAAGTTTTAGTCCCACTTATTATTTATTTGTGATTTTTTTTCTTTATAGATTATATAATAATTTTGGAAAAAAATAACTAGCTTGAAAAATAAAATTATAATTTTAAGTAAAATATAAAAAAATTATATAATTTATAACCCAGATACCTTAACAGAAGAAATTTTTTTGTAATAAATAAATAATATATTTTTAATATGTCAATGCTACTTTAAAAATATTGAAAACAATATGATCAGTTCAAATCATATGTTGAACTGCCAAGAACTTTATATGAAATGATGAGTTTTTATTTGGTCCGGTGCAAGGACTTAGAGGAAGGTTCGGTTTTGCCTAAAAAAGTGCAAATACCGAGTTTTTTGAAAAAATACCGAGTTTTTCAAAAAACTCGGTATTTGCACTTTTTACCTATTTTTGACTAAAACCGAACCTTCCTCTACATCCAGTGAAAGGACCTAATAATTGCTCATGAAACGATAGATTGAACGAAATTAATTAATTTAATATTGCCCTACCAGCGTACCCAAAGAAAAATGCTTTTGAGCATTTCAATCAGAACTTATTTGGCAATAGTATTTTTTTGTGAAACAATTTTATTTTAAAATATAGTTTTTAATTGCTCAACATTTTTTTGAATAGATGTAAATAGTTTTGACCGAACAGTAATTCATTTAATCTTGACTTTGCAATGTACGTCAAAAACTAGAAGAATTGAATTCATGTAGACTTCTAAATTCAGAACATGCAACATATGTCTTTATCGCATTTATTATCTTTCTTTTTTTATGTTATGTTTTTGTTTTTTCTATATTTTTTTTTCTTTTGTTTGGCCCATACCATTTAATAAGGCAACATGCTTGTAGCCTCCCTGATCGCTTAGTTGTCTCTATGGTCCCCTGTTTCTGCTTCCCTTCGCTCTTGCATTCTCTCTCCTCATTAATTTTCTTCCCATCCCCCATTTAATGAACCTATTTGTCCATATCTCTATGGTCCCTGCTTCTGCTCCCCCAGTTCAGTAATTAATAAGCATAACATTAACTACGTATTTTTCCTCTTTCTTTGCTTACAATTAGCAGATGGTCCACCATAGCTGCGCAGCTCCCAGGCAGGACTGATAACGAGATAAAAAATTACTGGAACACACACCTGAAGAAACGCCTTCTCCGAATGGGCATTAATCCTGATACATACGCACCCGCCTCTCCTTCATCATCCGCCGCCGCCGCCAGCGCTAGTTTCCCGGCCACCCGCCACATGGCGCAGTGGGAAAGTGCCCGCCTTGAAGCCGAAGCCCGCCTCTCCCGGGAATCCATCCTCTTCTCCTCCACATCCTCTGCCCCCGCCGACTCCGAACCCGCAGACGACTCTCTCACCGCCGGCAAGCCTGAAACAGACTTCTTCCTCCGCATTTGGAACTCCGAGGTTGGCGACGCCTTTAGAAAGCCATTACCTACTCTCCATTCGGCTGCCGAGCAGGTTGTGGATGATGCGACGGCGCCAACAGCGGAGAGCAAGTGCTGCGCATCGGCGGGAGTGGAGGTTCCTTCAGGGCATGATTCATCTAGCTCCAATGAAGTCGATGAGACGTCGGACGAGACTTACCAGCTTTATCTCAACCTCGCTGGCGACGAACTGGGACTTTTCCACGGCCAAATGGGTAGCTTCTCTCTCTTTTCAACTGATCTCAACGATGTCGTCTTTCTCGACACTGCGTTCAAATGAGAGATCATGTTTGGTATTAATGTGGTTATGCCAAGGTTTTTAAAATATATTTGTTTTGATTGAATATGAATGGTTTAAGGGCTTTGTAGTTTGTATTGTTTTGGTTTTGCGTCGTGGTTTGGGTTTTTACTAAGCTTCCATTAAAATGAAGGGAAAGAGCGAGCGAGGCATGCTTTAGTTTTTTATTTCATTTGCAGGGGCTATTTAATCTTTTCTCTGTTGTATCTCGCCTTACTCTGTTAGCTTTTATGTTTGTTTGTGTACAAAGCAGTTTATTGGTATTTGTACTCTCTCTCTCTCTCTCTCTATATATATATACAAGGAAATTGTCCTTGTGAAAAAAGAAAAAAGAAAAAAAAAGGTATTTTAGGTGAAAGATACCTGTTATATTATGATTGATAAGTAAAAACATGCCTCTAAGTGTTTTGCAATTGGCAACTACATTTTCTTTGGAAGTTTTCACAACTTTTTTGAACGGGTTTTGATTTATTGTATGATATAACAACTACATTTTCCGTGATGCAGAAAATTTTAATTAGTGATTTTGTATATTGTTGGGGGGTTTTGCCTCTATATTTTGCAAGCAAGATTGACATGTTCTTGCAGCTGTCTTAATTGTACTTACATGTTGGGCCGAGATGGGCAAGTTTTATTTTAGCGTAAGACTTATTACTTTATTAATTATATCGAACAACCTATACCTTATCCAATAACCTTTTAACATTCTCTAGCAAACTCAAACCTAATGACTTATAATTTTCATGTGTAAATATCAAAAGCCATAATAAAATTTTAATCTTTATATATTATTCATTTTCATGAAATTAGCTATACTTTAATCTTGATCTAAGTACATTTAAAGTTTTAAATATGCATTATTAAATGATTTCTGTTAAATTGTAATTTATCGACCAACTCATCCTACAAAGTGACTGATAGTTTTAGGCAGAAGATTTTTATTGCTTCTTAAAATAAAATTTTGATAAAATTTTTTTATTTTTTAATTAAAATTTTATTTTAAAAATAATAAAAAAGTCGAATGAAGCCTTAAGCTATGCCTCAAACCCGATGAACTTCTACTTCCCCTAATAAATATTTCAAACATTATTATCAATGTCAAGCCTAAACGAGGAAATATGTACAATCAGTTGGAAAAACAGCCCCAAAACATCTCTTTTTTAAATAACTTGTAAAAATGAATGAATTAAACTACAGGCTAAATGTTATCGGCTTTCAAAAGGTGAAGGTGAATCTATCAACTTTTTTTATCATATAGAACCAGATGTCGTGGTAATTGCTACTTTCATCTTCTTAACTCTCAGGAATGATATTGCTAATGAAGTCATCTCTTTCTTTCCTCCTCAATAAACGGGAAAAAAACAAAAAAGCACACCTCATATTATAAAAAACAAAGTAGAGCTATCAAAAATTAGGCTCAGAATGATGACCTTTTGATTTTTAATAAGGCAAAAATATGGCAAATTATTGCATCCGATCACCGGACGGGGAGATAGATTCGGATATTAATAAAATATTATTTTAAATTAAGCGCAGGCACGTCATTGGTGTAAACACAGCATGATGTTGCACCCATATCCACAATAGCGCGTATGCTGAATCTTGGTACTTGTGGAATTTCAAAATAAATTACTATATTATAGAGTCGATTAAGTACCTTTTTTATGGTCTTTCAGCACTTTCTTTTGCTATTTCTGTCATAATCCTAGTTTCTTGGATGTCTGCTGCTTCGTTATCCTGGATATCATCTTCCTCTTCATCGTTCTTCTTTTCCAAGTCTTTACTATGATCATGAAGTAAAAGTTCCTTTCGTGATTCTTCGAGCTGTTCTGTTATAATTTTTTGAATTTGTTCTTTTAATCTTTTGTTCTCTTCAACCAGATGATCGAAATATTTGATTAATTCCTGAATTAAATTTTCTTTGGACTGGTATAGCTTGCAAGATTAGCTCCTTGGGGATAGTAATGGAAAAATAGAACATAGCGCACATGGGACAGGAAGTTATCTTATAGTTTGCACAATGCATTCTCATTTTAATGTTGGAGTTAATTGCGTAATAGGTGCATTTAACGTAGGGCCCTTGGATGGGTTTGTTGAACTCCCATGTATGAGCACAGGCTTCTTGTTCTGCGGAGAGTGTTACTCTTTGTCTCCATCCCAGATCTTCTTGCATCATAAAAAGAAATTCATCATGTGTGTTTTCAAGAGCGTTTCGAATATGTACCAGTGTATTTGCTCCTTCTCCTTCATATATACTGCAAATTGCGTCTGATGGGTCTTCATCTAAGTCAATTGATAATACGTCATAATCATCAGGGAGATCAAGATTTTGATCACATGCCAGACGTTATAGGTCTAAATATGCTCGATTTTGTTCTTCAGTGGATCCTTGATACGGGTCTTCAAGGGTAATAATTCGTTGAACCTCTGATAAAACATTTTGCGGATCATCCGCAATATTAATAAGTGCTTCGTACTCAGTTTAAAAGGTCACGCGCCATTGTATCCATGTTTTCTTTTCGACTTCTCCGAGCAGATTTTTTACGAACAGAACTTTGGCGCGGTTATCGATAAATTGTTTTTCATTTATCAGATTAAGGGTGATAGATTCCCATCGGGAGATTACACCATCATATAAAGAAAAATCATCCGGAAGTATTAGGAGAACGCCTTGATTGTTGTGGGCCGATGGTAAAGTCCACATATTTTGTTGGAATGATTTGCGGAAATTAGAAGTTTTTGGTTTATAGTACTGGAATGGGTAAGATGGGGAAGCATCAGGGTTGGCTGAAAGGGATGTGGCTGGGGGATAACTAACAGGACCCATGACCGGTTCATTTGGTGGTAAATAATTGGAGGAAACTGAGGCAAATAGATTTTCAGCTTTAGCGGCCATCTTTCTGAGTTGAGGATAGCCAAGTTCAGCCAATTGATCTTCCAGTGCATAGCAGGTTTGGGTTGGAACAATTTGTTTTGGTTTTTTGTGTGTAGGAAGAGCTTGAAAGGGTATACCTGAGTTCGCAAGTAATCCTGTTGGAGTTACAAGAGTTCGAAAGCAACCCACCCGTGTTTCGTGATTGGGAGAAATAGTATCGGTTAATGGTGTGGAAGGTGATGGAGGTGTAGGATAATTTAGGGGTGCAGGGTCATCCCGACCAGTTGGTTGAATGGAGGAAAAGGGTATGGAAGCAGATTGGGGGGAGTGTAATAGACAAGGTAGTCATATTTGCCTGATGGTTGACCAAGTGGGCCAATAGTGGTTTGACCAGAAAGGTATTGGGTCCAGATTTCGTGTTCAGGTGAAGGTTTCGGGTTTAGGGGGGTTGCTTCGGGTTCTTCATCTCCACCACCTTCCGGAGAGGTGAGAAGCGGCTCATTAAGGTAGGAAGAGAGGTATAGGAAATCAGAAAAGGGGTCATCATCCGGATTTTCTGGAGCGTCATCAGATAAATCCCAAATTGGTGCATCAGTGGAGGGAGTGCCAGCTAGAGGGCGAATTCATTGGATTCAGCTGGTTTAGGGGGTTCTAGGTGGGAGAGGTTGTGGGGAGTAACTGGAGAAAGAGAGACGAAGCGATCCATCAAGGCATTGATGTGTATGCAACGAATGAGGAACCAGTAATGCCATAGTGCTGGATGAGGGGCATAAGTGCCACGAGCGCCCTTGTAATTCATTGATAGTATGTCGCCTTCCAGGTATTGCAGAAATACCATCGGATGCTAAATAATTAGCGACCCCGGTGATATTGTAACATAAACCAGTTTGACTGGTATTTGTTAGACATGCAACAAGGGCACCGGTAATTAGGAGGTTGGATTCGCCACCTTGCCATTCATCATAGCCATGTGTCATGATAACCAGCTCAATGTGATTCAGGAAGTCATGGATGGAGAGCATAAGATTAGGTGCAATATATATCAATTGCGTGTCAGAGGACAGATCAATCTCCATGGTGCCAATTATAGAGACATCAGATCGCCAGCGTGTATCACGTAGTACAATTAGTGCAGTTGTACCGGCATCACGTCGATGAAGTGTCTGGACTCGAACCATAATTAGTCCAAGATGTATATGCTGCATGCCTTCATTGATCAGTCGTTGGTATGACTGTTTCCTAATGAAGGGGAGATTAACTTGATGATCATCAAGAGCAAGTATTCGTTCTTCGGTGTAGTGCTGATAGACACGGTGATCCTGTGTAGACCATCCATCCTCATAAAGTGTTCTGGTGGAACAAGATTAGCTCTTTTCCTTTGAGAGAGTTGAAGTTCTGCTTCTGGATCCAGCTGACTTTCCAGTGTGGCTTGGTAATGATGTCGTCGAGGTAGACATCGTTGTAACTCATAAGCTAACCTGGATCGTAGTCGATAGCTCCGAATATGATCTTCTACTGTGTCGGTAGTTCTTGATGCTTGTCGAATGGAGTTGGTTCGATTGAGCAAAGTGGAAGTTGTAGTTCTGGAAGAAGAAGTCATTTTGTTCATTTTTGTTCGTCCAAAAAGATCTTTTTGTGGTCTTTAAAGACAAACAATTGTCCTTTATTTTGAGGTTTTGGTTTTCGTTCCCCACCAAGACTTAATGATTGTAGTTGATGTTGTAACGAAGATAAAGATTGTTCAAATGAAGTGGAAGTTCCAGTAACTCCACTTAAATTTTTGACTTGTTCTTCCAAATCCTTGACTCGTTCAAGATTTACTAATAAGAGTTGGTTTATAGTATTATTTTGTTTTATAAGTGCTTTGAAATATGTTTCAGTGTTATTACAATTCTCAGTTGGGTTCACAAATCCAACGGCTGGGGCATCGATGGAGTCTGTTGCCTTAAGCGCAGATTTATAATCAGTACTGGAAACGAAGAGTCGCCAATCGTTCATAAAGTAATATACGCAGTGTTTTAATGGCTCAAGCTATTATATTTCTCGTAGAATTTGTGGATCTATCCTTTAACGATTACTTACTATAATAAGTTCCAGTGTTCTCAGG